AAGGAAGAGACACAGCTCTGTCCCACAACTCTATGCCCTAGAGGAAACCGTGTGCATATGCATGCTGATATATGCATGAGAATATTGACAAGGGTGTCATTTAGTGTAGATAAAACCATACAAACAAATCAACAGTTTCAAACACCACATTAAATAAATGAAAGAAAACATCAAGAAGCCTGTATGTAGGATTATTCCATCACATACTTAATGTCAAGAAGAGACCACAGTTATTATTTAAGCAGGCATGACTAACTTCAGCCCTATAAAGAATGGAAGGAAAAGCTTCCTATGCAACCCATTATGGTGGTAACCATATAAATGCCTGAGCTTCATATAGGTCTGTCCTTAAGAGTCTGCCTGTTCCACCTCACTACCTCCCCCTCTGACCTATCCAAGCACTTTCCTGAGCAGCTGGCTCAGCTGGACCATCACTCCCAGCTCATTTGTGGACTGTCTTTCCCTCAGTCTCAGTAATTTTAGGGCAGGCAGCTGTGTTCAGGGATGCTGGCATATGGGGACAGGGTCTCTGCACTCCATTCCCAGCAGAAACTTACTGGAGGCTTGACCTTGAAAACAGAGGCAGATTCACTCAGCCTTAGTGTTGTCATGAAAAGTGGAAATGATATTTTGGTGGTGGAGAGTTTCTGACACAAGGAAATCTCCGATGACAGGCTTTTGAAATAATTTATGCTCCACAGACAGTAGTCCTTCCTTTATTGACCTTCCTTGTGGAGAAGAGAAAAAAATTAGGGCCCCTTGAAGAGAGGCTCCCATTCCTTCCTGGGCTTTCCTTGCAGCAAGTTTCCAGATGTGCTGGTCCCTTTCTATGGCAGTGATCATGTGACCCTCCACACCTATGGAAAGAGGGATGCTCTGAGCTCCAGAATAACCAGGTTCTCTGAGGTCCCAGAACAAGACAGTAGACCCCAATCAATAACTGTGGGCATTGTAAATGCCGTGAACAAAACAGCTCTGGGAGACTGTAGAGTCCACTTAGGAAGTTTTAGTGACACAGCAGAACAGAAAGACTGAGAATAGTCTTATAAGAAAGGAAGGACAATGTCGTCATCAAATTTAGTTGCTTTGATTCAGTGAGCCACAATAGTTGGAAACAAGGATTATCAGAAAATTTTGGGATGATATCTATGTTTCTGAAAAAGGAAGAGTTCAGCAGGCTGATGAACAATATCTAAGTTGTCCAGCTACAGAAACAGCAAGATACCAGATTATTTTTCAGACTTTTTTTGTGATATTTTAAAGATTCAATAAAAGCTGTACTGATGAGAGGAAAAAAAGAAAATAATTTCATTTACAATGACATAAAAATAATAAAATAGTTGGGAATAAATTTAACCCAAAAGGTGAAAGAGCTGCGCTCTGGAAACTGTGAGACTTTGATGAAAAAAAATGAAGATGAAAACACATGGAAAGATATCCCATGTTCATGGACTGGAAGAATATTATTGTTCAGATGCCTATATATCACCCATATTACCCAGATGTCCATGTTAGCCAGATGTCTATAATAATGAGAATGGATAAATACATGTTGATATATTTATGCAAGAAATCTTATATTGCAATCCAATGAAATAGAGCTAAAAAAATCATTATGTGT